TAAATGAGCTAAGAGCTTTGGAATTAGTAGCTGTCCAACAAATGTTACTTCCTTTCTCCAGTTCCTTCTACCCCTGCTTTGCTTCTTCCTTCTTTCTACCTCGCATGCATGTTTACCGGTCCATAGGTGAACATCAAGCACATATATGTAGTAATTTCCCCATTGCAAATTCTTAAACCAAGTGATGTAACCTTTGTATATTACTGTAAAATTGTCAAAAGCAGGATAATTTAAATCACTTTTGGTACACATATATCTAGAACTTTTAAGTCTTTTTGGTGGATTGACCCTTTCTCATTATATAATGTCCAATTTTGTCCCTGGGTATTTTATTCTTTTTTTTTTTTTATCCTCACCTGAGGACATTTTTGCATTTATCTTCAGATAGAGCGCCTGGGTATTTTCTTTGCTCTGAAATCTGCTTTATCTGATATTAATATGGTTGCTCCTGCTTTCTTCCGATTAATGTTTGCATGGCATCCTTTTCTATCCTTTTTTTACTCTCAACCTACTTGATCATTATATTTGAAGTAAATTTATTATAGACAGCGTATAGGTGGGTCATGGTTTTTAAGTACACTATTTTTTTGTTTTTTAATTTATCTTTATTGTTGAAAGTATTACAGATGTCCCCCTCCTTTCCCCCCAAGACCCTCTCCTCCCCATTCCCACTCCCTTGCCTTCACCACACTATTGCCTGTGTCCATTGGTTATGCATATATGCATATAAGTTCTTTCATTAATCTCTTCCCACCCCCCACTCCTCTTCCCTCTGAGGTTTGCCAGTCTGCTCCATGCTTCCATGTCTCTGGATCTATTTTGTTCTTCAGTTTATTTTTGTTCATTAGATTCATTTACACTCTGTCTTTTGATTGATATATTTAGACCATTTATATTCAACAAATTATCAATATGTTACGTATAAGTTTGCTGTTTGTTTGTTTGTTTGTTTGTTTTTGTTACCTGTTTGTTCTCTCTGTTTTTAGTTTTTCTGTCTTCTTTGTCCTGCTTTCCTGTGGGCAACTTGCACATTTTTCAAATTCCATTTTGGTTTATCTATGTTTTTAGTGCATCTCTCTGTATAGCTTTTTTAGTGTTTTCTGTATTGTTATATATACGTAATTTATCATAGTCTTCTGATGTCATCATTTTACCAGTTCAAGTGAAATATAGAAACCTTATCTCCTTTTACATCCCTTTACACTCCCCTATTTACAATATAAATGTCTTACATATTTCCTCTACATACATTGAGAACATGAAACTGTGATAAATTCTGACCCAATCATCAAACATGATTCAGACAACTTAAGAGGAAAATATATTCTGTTGTATTTACTCATGTTTTTGTCTACTGTATTCTTTCTTCCAAGGTTCCTTCTCCTATTGTTTATTTTCTGTTCTAAGAACTTACTTTAGTCATTCTTATAGAGTAAACCTTCTACTGATAAATTTCCTGTTTCCTTCCACCTAAGAATGTCTTGATTATCTCTATTCACGAAAGATGTTATCACTGGACACAGGATTCTAAGTTGATGATTCTTTTTCTTCAGCACTTAAACAATGTTGTTCTTCTTCCCTCTAGGGCTTCATCAGTTTCTAATGAGAAATCTGCTGTTATTCAATTTTTTTTCCTCTAAAGTTATAGATAAGGTGTTGTTTCTTTTTGGCTGCTTTCTAGATCTTTTCTTTGCCTTTTGTTTTCAGAAGGTTGACTATGATGTGTTTGGTGTGAATTTCTTTGGGTTTATCCTGATGGTATTTGTTTAGCTTCTTGAATCTGGAGGTTTATGTCCTTTGCTCAGTTTGGGAAGTTTTTATCCACTATTTCTTCAAGTACTTTTCCAGTCCTGACCCCTTTCTTCTCTCTTTCTGAGACTCTGTTGACATGAATGTTAACATAAATGTAACTATTAACATGAATATAAATAGTCCCACAGGTCTGGATGCTCTGCTCAATGCTTTATTTTTACTTTTTTATAAAATCTGATTTCCCTCTGTTGCCCGGCCAGTGTGACTCAGTGGCTGAGCATCGACCCATGCACCAAGAGGTTGCTGGTTCGATTCTGGGCCCGATCCCCAGTGGGGGGCATGCAGGAGGAGGCCAATTGATGTTCTCTCTCATCGATGTTTCTATCTCTCTCTCTCTTGCTCTCCCTTCCTCTCTAAAAAAAAAAATTGCCCTGGCCAGTTTGGCTCAGCGGTTAGAGCGTCGGCCTGTGGTCCGGAGAGACCCGGGTTCGGTTCCCGCTAAGGGCGCGTACTTCGGTTGCAGTTTGTCCCCGGCCCTGGTTGGTCATGCGGGTGGCAGCCACTCGATGTGTCCCTTCACATCGATGTTTCTCTCTCTCTCTCTCCCTCCCACTCTATCTGTACAAAAAATGGAAAAATATCCTCGGGTGAGGATAAAAAAAAAAAAAAAAAAAAAAAAAAAGTTTAAAAAAAAAAATTAAAAAACATTTCCCTCTGTTGTTCAGATTGGGTGATTTCTATTGTTTTATATTTAAGTTGATTCTTTACTCTGTCTGCCCCATCTTTCTGTTGAGCAAGATTTTAAGATTTTAGACAATGGAATACTACTCAGTCATAAGAAAAGATGAAATACTGCCATTTGTGACAACTTGAAAATATCATGCTAAGCAAAGTAAGCCAGAAAAAGTTAAGAACCATATGATTTCACTCATATGTGGGATATGAAACTGAAAACAACAAATAAACAAATAAGTAAAACAAACAAACAAACAGACAACAGTATGGTGGTTACCAGAGGGAACGGGAGTGGGGGCAAGTAAAAGGTAAATGAGGTCAAATATATGGTAACTTTGGGTGGTGGTCACAGAATGCATTGTATAGATCATGTAGCATAGAAATGTATACTTGAAACCTGTATAATCTTATTAACCAATGTTACCCCAATAAATTTAATTTAAAAAGATTTTTGAGCTTTTATGGTTTTTTGGCTACTGTATTTTTTCAGTTCTCAAATTTCTATATGATTTTTCTTTGTTTTTTATTTCTTTGTTGAGACTTTCTACTTATATGATGAGATTTTTCTATGTTATCATTTGTTTCAAGTGTGTTATAATTGCTCATTGGAGCTTTTTAATGATGGCTGGTTTAATTTCTTGCCAGATAATTCTAACATCTCTGTCACTTGTCATTTAAGTTGATAACCTGGGTATGGCAAGTGATCCTTTTTGATTAAATTTGAACACTGTGGATCTCTTTTAAATATTTTGTTTTTGCAGGCCTCCTCTCACATTGTCCTTTTGCAGGAAAGGGAGACAGTAGAAGTCTAGGTTCTCTACTGGGCCTCTGATTGTCATCCGGGTTGGGTTGGGGTTTTGTGTTACTGCTCGTTGGGGATGGGCGTTCAGCCCTCTTTCTAAGCCTCTGATGATCCCACCACAGCTAGTAGTGGTAGGAATGATCGGTTTAAAACTGGTGAGGGTATTAGTCATACATCCCATTTGGTCTTCACTGGGAGGGATCATTTTTCCTTACTCCCAAGTGTTCCTTCTTTTGGAGTTGGGCAGGGGCTTCTTTAAAGTCTTGTAAGAGTTAAAATTTAGGCTCTCCACTTACATACCTAATCTTCTTATTACCTACCTTGTATTATGACAGCTGGCCTTTTCCTGCACCAAGTTATCTCACTCCCTATATCCTGATGCTTTTGCAGAAAAGAATTGAAACATGCTCCCTCTCCACTCTTTCTAAGACCCTCTACAAGATAGAGTGGGAAGACCAGGGCCTCTGCATGCAGATTGACTGAGTTCCTGTCAAAATCTGGCATTTCCAGCTGTTTGGCTCTGGAACAGTTAGTTGCTTAAATTTTCTGAGCCTCTATGTTCCTAGTTGTAAAGGAGGTAGGTGTAGGAAGCTTTCAAATCTCTCCCTGAAATGAGCAATAGTATGTCAAAGGGCTTGGCCCACAAGAGTTCAACAAATAATAGTTCCCTTCCTTTTAGTCCCTTGCAGAAGTAAAGATATAACCCCTCCAAAGGACAAAAAAGTCAAGGTGCATCCCCACTACCACCTAGGCATTCACTTTAAGGTTAATTTAAATCTCTTGGTAAAAGTCTTATTTCTTAAATTGAGACACTTGCTATCCTCCCTATTTTTCTCCACTTTCCTAGAAAACACTAAAGGGAGACAGCTGGACCCATGCTACCCTCAAAATGAGGGTGCTATTGTGTTCTGAGCAAGGACAACATCATTGCCTAGCCAAAGCCACTCCCAGAGGGAAGGGGGGTGGCAGACAACTCCCATTTTGCCTGCTTGCCCTTCACCTCTGGAGCCTAAGAGCAGCTGCTGCAATCTTACCAACTGATGGGGAACCTCCTCCCCAGTCTCCATCGCTCCCATCCCCCTTCGGGAGCTTGGGATAGGAGGGGAAGAAAGTGGTGAATGAATGGAAAGCAAATACACACGAGCAAGCCAGCGTTTGCCATCCTCCCAGTCCCGGCCTACAGGGATTCCTCAGCATCCCCAGCCAGCAGTCTCTGGCAGCAGCCACCAGCCCCAACACACTAGGCTCTGCTCTCAAAACGCTCACCCGAGCTCCAGGTCCTGAAGTTGAATGGGAGACTGAAAAAAATCTCGACACCTAAAGATCAAGGAGCCAAACACCTTGGAGCCAACAAACTGAAAATAATAATAGGTCCAAGAATGCCGTCCCCCAACTCCCACCCCAAGAATAAAACTGTCTTGGGATCAACACCCCCCCACCTCCTTGCGTCTCCATCTGGCTTTCTTAGCCACATCTGGCGAGGTCTCTCTCCGTCAAGTGGCTGTTTCTTGTCTCTCTATATGGTCTGTTTTAACTCTCCCCAGCCTCCTTCCCACCCTTGAAATCCGTGGTGTATGGGCTCCTTTCCCACCCCCCTGAGCAAGTAGCCCAACAATAGATACTTTACAAGGTAACTCAGCCTTCTCCCTCAGCGAGAGATTGGGGAGGGGGGCTTCAAGGGGGCCTGGGGGCGCTGCAACATTCCACTTACCTGATCTCTTTAATGCTTTCCAATTTGCACATTATTTCTTGCTCATCTGCCATGCTTTTCACTTTCAACTTCACCTCCCGAGAAATGTACAAACACACAAATCCAGGGATACAATAGACACAATGTAACCAGCTCCTCCCGGCATGGGGCTCTGAGTCTGTGCGGTAAGGACTCGAAGAAGGCCTGGGAGCTGTAGTCGCAGTTCCAAGGCCAGTCAGGCAGCCCAGGGGCCTGCAAGACTACAAATCCCAGAAGGCCAAGCGAGACACGCCTGTTTCTCTTCCTGCAGCCGCGCTTTAAATCAATTTGTCACAGATAATTTATGTCAAAGGTTGTGGAGAGTGCAAGGGAATGGTGACATTTGTCTGTCCCGTGCGTGGGGAAAAAAATGAGGAAAATTTACCCCAGAAGAAAAATGGAAAGATGAGAGATATACAACCCTCCTGGGACCCTCCCGCCTACTCACTTAGTAAAGGATACCAGAAGTTGCTAATTAGTAGATACTGGGGCTGAAGAGAAACCCTGCAAGGGTATTCGCTTTGAGATGTTGTGTTTAGTTAGGCTGCTGCCTGGGAACAAGTGGCTTTGACATTCAGATGAACATGAGATGGGATGGTATGGAGAGAGAGAAAGACAGAGAAAGAGTGAGAGAAGGAGGGAGGGAGGGAGGGAGGGAGGGAGAGGAGGACAGGGGAGGGCAGGGAAGGAAAGCTGCTAAAACTGGGATTTGGAGGGGTAACTTTGTTTCATCTGGCCCTACCTCCATTCTACAGTAGTTCAGCTCAGATTTTGGGGAAGGCACTGGGGGACATGAAGGTAAATAAAAGGAAGTCTTTGCCTTTGAGGAGCAGGAGGGACAAAAAGGAAACATTACAGTGCACTGTGCTGCCCTAGTAAAGGAATAAATAAGGTGTAACCTGAGCAGAGAAGATGTAAACAGGTCTCAAAAGGTGGCTGTGAATTTGCCAAACAATTGGGGAGGATGGACTTCCCAGAAGAGGGCATAACACATACAGAGAGGAAAGGATAAACTGGCCAAGGCATCTGGACCATAAGGTTCATATATGGGATGTGCAGGTGGGAAAGAGAAGGGGGAGATATATCTAGAAAAGGTAGGTTAGAGTTAGATTGCAAAAGACCTTGAATGTCACACTAAAGTGTTTGGACTTAATCCTATAAGGTACACATTCATCCAATACACATTTATTAATTGCTTACTACATACCAAATAATGCCAAGTTATTTAATGTTTCCAAACACACAAGTGCTAAGGTTGGAGGGATGTCTTAGGGAGGTGACTCTAGAGGCAAAGTGGAGAATGAGTTAGAGGAGATGATACCAAGTAAGAGGTCAGAAAGCATTCACAGGCCCAAAAAGCTAGGCTTTGGACAAAAAGAGGACTCTGGCTCACTCCCAACTAAAGGTGAGTGGAAATTCTCTCTGATTGAGCATGCACTTTTTTTCTGGGCCTCAGTTCCCTCCTCTGAAAATGGAACTAGTTAACCCCCAATGGTGCTGAATATAGGACTTGATATATTTTAGGAGCTGGAGAAAAATTAGTAAAATATGAATTCCAGGACATTCTGGGTGTCCACACTGATGTTAAGATCTTTCCAGGGGAGGAATTGAAGCCCTTCTCTTCTTCAGATTTCAGACATGATAACTTTCACAGTCAGGAAATTATCCCTGGTTTCTAGCCTAATGATGTCCTGTTGGGCTTTAAGGTCCCTGTGTTACAGTACCACTAGTAGTCACTTGATCACTACTGAGTTAGGTTGCCATAAAGACTGTGGATCTGAGCTACCCTAGCCATAGAGTCCAGAGCCAAGAACTGGCCCCAGACCTATCCTATAAAAGGAGGGGGTAGGGAACAAGCCCATGTAAATACTTGGCATGTATCAGCTACTGTGCTGAGAGCTGTATGTGTAGTCCCTCATTTCATCCTCACGACCACTCTTAAGGGGGTAAGTAGATTCATTCCTTTTTACAATAAAGAAAACTGGCACAGAAATTGTCCTGGCAAAGGCCATATAGTAAGTTACAAAGCTAAAGCCTGGGCTCAAATTGAACCAAGCTATTTGCAGATTAAGGAAGGGAACATATATGAAAAAAATATGGAGACTAAAAGTAAAATGAGGTCTTAGATGTATATATTTATGTCAAACATAAATTGCTTTGCAATATGAGTTAACTCTGGTTTGAAGAGAAATAGAGGGTATGTATGGGAAACAATTTAGGAATGGCCCTTGAGGTTTTATAACTGATATCTCTTCTTCCACTATCTACTTCCTCTTAGAATCTTTACCTAACACTATGCTCATATACCTGGTAAGGGTCTAGATGTGGCTTTGTATCTGTTTAAATTTAAATGTGTTAATAGCTTTACAGTCTGATTTTAAGAGTAATTTGGCAAATATCTTGTCTTATAAACCTCACCAAAACCCTATTTCACAGTTGAGGAAACAGGCCAAAAAAAGCAAAGGACTTATAAAAGGTCACCCAGCCTGTCTAACATAGAAACAGGACCACTGACTCGGGGCCCTTTGATCTTTTCATAGCTCTACACAGCCTGTATCATTCTGTTACTGCCTCCATGGAATCCAAATGTCTCTGTTACTTCTTCCAGGTGGTACACTCCAATACATGGAGCCTCCCGAGGGACAAGTTATGTCCCATGCTGCCAATCCATGGACATTAAAGGTAAATGACAATTAATGTAACAGAAGGGGCTTTGGAGGCACCTAGTGCTTGGAGGAAGGTTTGTGGTATCTGTAACAATTAAGGTGTTGAATTAAGGAAAGGGTTCATAAGCCTCTTAACTTCCATGGTTTTCTCTTGGCTCCTTAACCTCTTTAATAACAGATGTCACTTTGTCCTTGTTGAGTTGTAAGAAACCAGGCTAACAATGAGAGGAAGGAACTATTACAGATAATGAGAGGGGGATAAATAGGACAGACCTTCAGCAGGGCCAATACCACCATGTTTTCTCAGGGGGACATTGTTGGCGTCTTGGCCTGGGCCAAGCAGCTGCAAGTTCAAAATATGGCAACTTTGAAAGATATTACCAGGTGACTTAAGTCAATCAAAAACATCAAGAAAGTTACCAAGTATATGAAAATAGGAGCAGCAGCATGAGCTGAGAGGAAGCTGAAACCAGCTCGAGTGTATGGAACAGGATCTTCAGTTCTGTATGAAAAGCTGATATCCAAGTGCCTGAAGACAAGAAGAAACACCTCCTTATCGGTATGTCCTCAGGTGGAGGTGCTATCCATTCCTCAGATGCTAAACAGATGAAAAGTGAGGTGGTTATGTTCACAGCAATCAGGAAAGAAGTTAGAATTGGTGATAAAATTAGGGGTATACTTCATAGGATTCATTCTGACCAGTTTCTGGTGACAGTCAACGAGTGGGAAGAAAACCCTCTATTTTTGTAGATGCATCAATTATTGCTGTGGAATTATTAAATTTTGGATATGAATTTGAGGAAGGATCTGTCGTCTTTAATCAAGTTGGGTTTGTCATCTCCTACAAGATAGAAGAAAAGCCCATTTTTTCCCTTAGTACCATTGCAAGTGCTGGAAACATGAGTATCTACGATGACATTGATACTGACGTGCTGCAGAATTACCAGGAATGTAGTCTGGCCAACATCATCTACTATTCTCTGAAGGAATACACCATAAGTGAGCAAAGCACCAGGATGATAGCCATGGGCAATGCTAGTAAGAATGCTTCTGAGATGATTGACAAATTGACTTTGACTTTCAACCACACCCGCCAAGCTGTCAGCATAAAAGGGTTGATTAAATCATCTCCACTGCTGCAATTCTGGATTAATGAAAATCAAGTGTCGTCCTCAGACAAGAGATAAAGAAGGAAAATTCAGCAAGCTGATTTTATTTTTAGCTTACTGCTGTCCTGTTCAGAATAAATTATTGGTCCATTGTTTTAATTACTGAATACATAAATATATTTGTAAATTATCTTACAATAAACAACTTACAATAAGAAAAAAAAGAGAGGGGAATCTAATGAACAAATAAACTGATGAACAAAATAGTCCACAGGCCTGGAGGCATGGAACAGACTGACAGATCTCTGAGGGAATGGGGGCCAGAGGGACAGGAAGAGATTAACCAAAGAACATATATGCATAGCCCATGGGCACAGATAACAGTGTGGTGAAGGCCTGGGGTCAGGCAGGGGCTGGAGGGAGGGGAGCAAAAGGGGGGCGTGAATGTGGGACATCTGTAATACTGTCTCAACAATAAAAAATGAAAGAAAATAAAAAGAAACCTGCCATTCTTTTGGATTGCTGATTTTTTGAGTTTACCTTCATCTTTTACAACTGTGGATTTCATGGTTGAAAACAGGTTCAAGATTATACACCATGATCAAGTGGGATTTATCCCAGGAAAGCAAGTCTGGTATAATATTCACAAATCAATAAATGTAATACATCACATAAACAAATTGAAAGACAAAAATCACCTGATCGTATCAATAGATGCTGAAAAAGCATTGAACAAAATCCAACACCCATTTTTGATAAAAACTCTCAGCAAAATGGGAATAGGGGGATCATACCTCAACATGATAAAGGCCATATATGACAAACCTACAGCCAACATCATATTAAATGGGCAAGAACTAAAAGCATTTTCCCTATGAACAGAAACAAAACAGGGATGCCCACTTTCACCACTTTTATTCAACATAGTACTGGATGTCCTAGCCACAGCAGACAAGAAAAATAAATAAATAAAAGGCATTCAAATTGGAAAGGAGGAAGTAAAACTGTCATTATTTGTAGATGACATGATATTGATTGTATAGAGAAAACCCTAAAGATTCCACCAAACAACTATATTTAATAAATGAATTCAGCAAAGTAGCAGGATACAAAATCAATATCCAGAAATCGATGGCATTTTTATACACCAATAAAGAATTATCAGAAAGAGAAACTTAAAAAGGCAATCCCATTTCCCATTACAACAAATGAATTAAGATACTTAGGAATAAACTTAACCAAGGAGGTAAAAAACCTGTATTCAGAAAACTACAGGATGTTGGAAAAAGAGATAGAGGAAGATATAAACAAGTGGAAGAATATACCATGTTCATGGATTGGAAGAATTAATAACATTAAAA